AAATGTTAAAAAGGAAATTGATTAAATGAAACAGGCCAGTAAGCCAGGACAAGCAGAACAGGGAAATTGAAATATTAAAACAGCAGTTTAACAACCTTCCTACGGTTTGAATTTTAAGAAAAGTATTTTATTTGTCTGTTTTTTTTTTGTTTGTTTGTTTGTTTTACCTAGAATTGGCTGTAGGTAATTCCAATAGGCCCTAGAATGCCTCAAGATCTTTCTTCAATGGAAATTAAGGACCAATTTCTTAAGAACTATATATTGGGTATCTCTTCTACTCTAATCTTTTTCAGGTTAGAAGGCCTCCTGACCCAAAGCCCTCTTGAGTTTCCAGTTCATCACCATAGACCAGAAGACAAAGGTTTGTTCTAATCAAGATTTAGAAGGGAAGCAAGTTGGAACCCTCTTGTCTTGTTTACCACAGAGACTGCTGTTAAGACTGCAGAGCAAAGTTGGAACCATCACACATGTGTTAAGGGAGGACATACCACAACCTGAACTGCCATTCCTGGACATATCCCCTTGAAACTGATGTTAAAAACTGTGAGCTATGTCCTAACTGGTTTGGCTCAGTGGATAGAGCGTTGGCCAATGGACTGAAGGGTCCCAGTTTCGATTCCGGGTCAAGGGCCTGTACTTTGGTTGCAGGCACATCCCTAGTATGTGCAGGAGGCAGCTGATTGATGTATCTCTCTCATCGGTGTTTCTAACTCTCTATCCCTCGCCCTTCCTCTCTGTAAAAAAATAAATTTAAAAAAATCAATAAAAAATATATTTTTAAAGAAAGATAAAAAAAAAAAACAAGCAAACAAACATAAGAACAACAACAACAAAAACTGTGAGCTGTCTTAATAAACATCATGTACTGGGCTCTTTTTGCTTTAGGGATCTGGCAAAATTGCAGGGCTTACAAATGTGGGCTGGAGAAATGTGTACAATCTGGATTATGCTCACCAGGTTAAGTTATTGATTATAGATAACTTGAATGACTTGGATATTTCAGCCTTTAGGTAAAAAAGATTGTCTAGGACTAGATTTCGGAGTAGATATCACAGGACAAACCCCATAGACCACTGCCGCCACCATGCAAATAGAAGTAGGCTATAAGGGAACGAATGCCTGGGTGGAATGGATGAAATATTCTATAGGCGCCCTCAGGAAGGCTAGAGGCTCAAGTGGTCTCTTTTCTACTCAGATGGACCTCAGACAGGAACAGGATGGAATGGGTGCTTGCCCTGTGTCAGGAGGAAACCACCTGGGGAAACACTTCCTATAACACTCTTGCCCTGTTGTTCCCATCCAACAGAGGTGAAGAGCTAGGACCTCACCCCCCCTTACCCCCCCTCCCCTCTCCCTCAACGATTTGGCCTGTCCTCCGATGTAAACTATACCTCCTGCCTCTCAAGTGGGGGGGGGGGGGGGGAGACAGTGCTTGGAGTTTATGAGAAATTTATTCGGATACGTAAATGCCCAAGTATCCTCAGAAGCCCATCATGCCGCACTGTCAATGCCCCGTGCTGATGTCTGGTGGTGTCATGGGGGACCCTGACTTGCAGCCGTGCCCAGCAAATGAGTGGAACTCGTGCTCTGATACCATTGGCTATCCCTTTTCACATTGGCATATCGTAAACCTTTCTCAATGGACAGACAACTAGGAAGAGGAGAGAGAGTCTAGGGGGCTCCTTTGATCCCTATACACTCACAGATCCATCGGGGTTCCGGGAGGAGTACCAGGTGACTTTAAGGCTAGACATGAGATTGCTGCAGAGCTTGAGTCTGTCCTGTGCTGGCGGCCCACTGTAAGTAAGGATTCGGTTGGATTAATTACATTTACTATGACCAGACTCAGCTAAAGGAATAGCTGAACAGCTAGATGCCACCAACAGGGTGACTTGGGAGAACAGCTTGGCCCTGGATCTGATTCTGGCGGGAAAAGGAGGAATTTGTGTAATGTTGGGCTCAGTGTGTACAGTCATCCCTGACAACACAGCAGATGGACCATCCTGAGCCCCTAAGGCCCTGGCAGCTTTAGCGGATGACGGAGCTGGAACCTGGGATCGAGGGTCCTTTCTTCGATTCACTAGAGCAATGGTTTGGAAAGGGGAAGGGAGCGATGGTGTCCACATTCACCCCTTTAATTATTATAAGTTACAGTAATAAGACGTTATATAATCTCATATATGCAGGAGGGGGGGGGTCTTATCCAAGGGTTAATTGAAACCACATTGACCAAACAGCAAGTTAGTCTTCTCCTAGACACTGGAGAGCATGAAAGTCAATGAGTGTCAGCCGAGTTTGAAGAAAAAAGAGTTTAAGTAAAGGAAAGGGGGGAATTGAGAAGAAACAAGTCACCTTTTCTGTCAAAAAGCAGGTCAGACAGCCGCCATTTTGGCTGCATGGTTTGCAGCTCCCCTGGGGACTGCCATCTTGGAACAGAAAAGACCAGCCCCTCCCCTTGCATTAGCCAATCGCGAAAGACTGTGCGCCTGAGCTCCAATCAAGAGTGAGAGACAGGTCACATGTGTCAGGATTATAAACCCGAGCAGACCGCTTGCTCAGTGTGCGTGTGCTTCCAGACCATGTGTGCACACCCTTCTACGTAGAAATAAAGATGTTTGCCTTGCTACCTGGCTCTCGAGTATGTTTTGTGTTCTACCAGGACCCCTGAATTTGGGGGTTCACCTTCTTTCTTTAAAAAAAAATTTTTTTATTGATTTTTTACAGAGAGGAAGGGAGAGGGAAAGAGCGTTAGAACCATCCATCAACTGCCTCCTATACACCAAGGTACATGCCCTTGACCGGAATCAAACCACACCTTTCAGTCCTCAGGCCAACACTCTGTCCACTGAGCCAAACCAGTTACGGAATTTCTAACACAAGAGAGAAGTCTCCACCTGGCCCCCCATGCCTTCTAAATTCATATTTCTTGTCTGGTGTTTTAATTTGTGTGTCCTCCCCTCCTTCAGATCCTGAACCCCCGCCGGAAAAAGGTTGTGGCACTCCCCAGCCCCAAGAATCCAAGGTCCCAAACCTCCAAGTCTCCTTGGAGAGGCGGGCCACCACTTCCTCTGAGAGGGTTAGCCATTCCCTTGCTGGTCAAAGCCCAGACCAGGGGAGGCTTAGAGCGACAAAACCCGAACCCGAGGCTCTTCTCCAGGAGTTGTATGTCCTGGAGCATGTGAATGTTTGGAGCCTCAATTTCCTCATCTGAGAAATGGGACCATTTCCTACTCACATGGTGGTGGCAATGAAAATCAAATGAATGGTTCTGTGCCAACCTTGCCAACATTTAAATCCTGCTCCCATTGTAGATGATGGGAGCGACGAGTGGCTTCCACTGGGCCGCTCCCCAATCTCCATCAGCAGCACCTTTTCTCTCCGGGTCTCTGGGCATCCTGACCATGACTCTGGCTCCACCTTGGGTGTGAGATAAACAGCAGGAGCCTCCTCAACAGTGTGGGCCATGAACAGGAGCTTGAGAGGGCAGGGGAGAAGGTGCCTGAGCCTCAGGAACACAGATGAGAAGGGGGGGGGGGGGACATGTAACTGCGAGGAGAAAAGAAGCAATCGAGAGACCGAGGCTGGCTTAGCTGTAGTGGTGTGCTTCCTTTCTGAGAGTAGGAGGTCCGGAAGTTAGAGCTCTAGAAGGATACAACCAAGTCAGGCTGAAAGAGTGGGGTGGGCACCTGAGGGGAGAGGCACCAGTTCTGGAGAGGCGTGGATGGAGCCAGACACCTACAGGTCTCTGCATTCACTGGCAGGAGAAGCACTGACCCTCGGTTGCTCTGAGGACTAAGGTGCTAGGCTGAGGAGAGAACGCTGGACGTGAGGGCTAGAGGGGGTGCCGGGATCACCTCCTATCCTCAGGGGCCTGTCCCTGGCTGGCCTGGCTGTCTTGGGGGTGGGAGCACCCCCTGGAATTGTTCTGCCCAAAGGGTTAAAAGGCAAGGAGCTGGGGGTGTGAACAGGAGGAGCAGGAGGCCCAGGGACCACACCTATTGAGTTGGTCCGGGCATGCAAACCACACACCAATCATTCCTTAGCGTGCCCCGCTGAGGGGCTATTGCAAGTGGCCTGCTGGATAACCCCAGCGCACTGTGTGTGTGTGTGTGTGTGTGTGTGTGTGTGTGTGGCTGCAGCCTGGGCCCTCCTTCCCACCAGCCTCTCCCCTCCCCTCCAGCCATCCTGGGATTGGTGGTTCTCGGCCCCTCCCCCGGCTCCCCCAGACCCTCCCAGAGCCTTTATCAGGGAGCTGATCCTGCCACATTCCCAGATCCCCTCTACTCCCGCTTCGCTTCTCTCTTCACAGCAGCGGCCGGCGGCGGCAGCTTTGTGGAGAGCAGGACAGGCATCCGGCCAGCCCCCTGATTCTGCTAGACCTTCCCGCGGCAGGCACCACGCGGCTCCACAGGTAGGCAGAGCGGGAGAAGGTGGGAAGGACCGAGGCTGGCACTGAAGGACGGAGTCGGGAGAAGTAGAGGAAGTGGCTGCCTTTGATCCGCCTTTGATCCGGGAGCCGGGCACTGGGCAGGGAGAAGAGGCAGGAAGAAAGGGGTTGGGAGCCAGTGATGTTCGGAGCCTGTGGCTGCGGACTGGTGGTTCTGTACGAGAAAGTTTTGCCTCAGTCTAGGGGTTGCCTCGTGCTGGGAAAGAGAGTCCAGGGTCCCTCCTGCAGCTGAGTCAGGAAACAGACCCCACACGTCCTATAGACCCATCCTCTCCCTTCCGAGCCTCGAGCCTCGAGTCCCGGCACTGTTGCACTTTGCTCCTTGCTGCCAGGAGCACATCCTGGGGAGATGTATCTGATGGGGGAGCAGGGAAACCAGCCCAGGGACGTCTCCCTGCTGAGATACCCTCCCCAGACTAGGGCTGGGGCAGGAGCGTCGGGAGCTGGGAAGCAGGGTCCAGCGAGGCTGCTGGTAGGGAATGTTTCCTGTGTTCTCCCTCGTCTTACGTCCTCCTCCCGCCTCCCCTGCCTGTCTCTTTACACTCTTAGCACCATGCGGAGCGCCCTGCTGCTGGCAGCCGTCCTGGCCCTCAGCCTGGCTCTCGGGGCCGTTGGTGAGGAGTCACAGGAGCAGGTGGTACCCAGTAGGGACCACAAAGAGGTAAGGCATACCCCCGGCTGGGCCTGCCTTGGCAGAGTGCTGGGCAACATCATGGGAGCAACAGCTTTGCTGGTTCCATAAGCTGTAGGGGAAGGGGTGGTTGGGAGGTGCGGCCGGGGTGGGGGGTGAGGGGGCGTGTGTGTGTGTGTTTCGGTCAGAGGGCTGGGCTTCCCTGCTTATCTGCTCAGCTCATGTGCTCACTGTCTTGGACAGGTCTGTAAGGATGTCTGTCCCTCTGCACAGGTTTGACACCTTGCATATAAAAGGTGCCCTACTCGTCTGATTGACTGCTGGCTTGGTGATTAGATGGTACTTCCAGGGTTAGGCCAGGGCGGGGGGATGGGGGCAGGTTGGTCTAAGGTTCCCTATGGTCCAGCTCAAGTTCAGGGTCTGTTCCTTTGAGGTGTGTGTGTGTGTGTGTGGCGGAGGTGGGCGGGGGGGGGGGGCGGGGGGCGGGATGCTGAGGGGATTCTATGTACTCCCTGGAGGTTATGAAACACAGTCAGAATTTCTCCCGCACATGGTCATTTGTGTGCTGTTTTACTGATCAATTACGTGTATTATTTTGTTTTCAAAATTTGAATAAATTCCCTCATTCGCCCCGTAACTTCAGGTGGTCCTAAGATCCCAGCCCTTCCCTCTTCCTCTCCTCACCCTCCTCCAGCCTCTGCTTCGTCAGGATAGAAAAATAATAACAAAAAACAAACACAATAAGGGTTAGGCCCCAGTTTCCTCCAAGAGAAGGAATAGAACTTGTCAGGCCACGGGGAGAAAGTCGTTTTAAGGTTTTGGGACGATAGCGATTACATTGGCACAAAAGCTTTTATGATGGTTATAGGTGGAACTTATTACAAATTCAGTGTGTGAAGTCTAACTGCGTTTCCAGCTCATGTCTGTTTAGCATCTCATTGCAGGCAGTGGGCAGAGTGTGGGCACAGTCCGGGGGAAGTGGCTGCCAGGGAACTGGGCGCTGGGCGGGGAGAGGGGGCAGCCTTCCTCCAGCTGTGAGTGGGTCAGGGCACCGCAGCTGGCAGCCTTGCAGTGGCAATAGTACCGCATTCAAAAGACGAGAACCAGTTCAGCCTGAAGGCTTGACTCAGTGGCTGAGCGTCAGCCTATGAACCAGGAGGTCACGGTTGGATTCCTGGTCAGGGCACATGCTCAGGTTGGGGGCTTGATCCCAGTGGGGAGGGTGCAGGAGGTGGCCCATCAATGATTCTCTCTCAATTTAAAAATTTTTTTAATTAAAAATTTATTTTTAATTAAAAAAAAAAGAACCAGATCATAAAAACACATAGGGATTACCAAATATGGGCTGGACACTGTGTCCAGAGTCCCAGCTCGAGGTGGGCAGGATATCTGGGCCTATTCTTCTGAGGCAAACTTGCTTCTGAGTCCCTGCCCCTCCTTGTCAGCGAAAGAGAGAGATTGCTATCCCATCCCTTCTCCTGCGGGTCTGAGAACCAGGGAGACTGGGGAGGGGAGAGGGGAGGAAGTACGAGTGCCTCGGCTGGTGTGAGTGGCGGCATCCTGTCACTGTGCCTCCGTGTGTGGTCTGCAGCCCAGGGACCCTCGGACTCTGGAGAGAGAGGCGCCTGTGAGATTCAAAGTGAGACCCTCCAATCATGGTCACTGTCATTATCTCTGCAGCTAAATTATCTGGGGGGTGGGGTGTGCCCACCGACCACCTGCTGTGCCCAAGTTACTGAAAGTAAATCACCAGGACAATTAAGAACCCCTGCTTAGACTCTGGGGTTCGTCTGCAGGATGGGGGAGAAGCGGTGCCTTCCTGGAGCTCTGAAGCCAGGGCGGTCAGGGGCGAGGGGAAGAGAACCTGAGGCAGAAACCCACGGGGAAGAAAAGAGATCAAGAGGCAGTGGGAGGGAGCCACAGGGAGAGAGCCATTCACAGCCTAAACCAGTTTGGCTCAGGGGATAGAGCGTCGGCCTGCGGACTGAAGGGTCCCAGGTTCCATTCCAGTCAAGGGCATGTACCTTGGTTGCAGGCACATGCCCTGTGGGGGGTGTGCAAGAGGCAGCTGATCCATGTTTCTCTCTCTCATCGGTGTTTCTAACTATCTCTCTCCCTTCCTCTCTGTAAAAAATCAATAATAATAATAAAAAGAGCCACCGCAGACATGGCACAGAGCGGGGGACTTCAGGGTCGCAGAGGTGTCCCCCTTCCCACCCCGCCCGCCCCCAGGGGGAGTGCCATCTGTGGCTCCGTCATGGGGCACAATCAGAGGACACCTGCTCTGTCGGATGGGCCTTTCCTGTGAGTGAGGGGAGTCGTGGAGGACAACCCCATACTTGCTCACCCAGGGGGGTAACCTCATCTTTGGCCCTTCTCACTGAGGGGCGGGAGCAGCTGGGGCAGGGCCCCAGGGAGAGGC